AAAAAAAAAAAAGAAGAAAATAAATAAATATATACAAAACCAAAAATGAAAAAAATTCCTGATAATTCTTTAAATAACTGAAACAAATGATTCACGTACTTTTCGACGATCACACAGAACTAATATCGTTTGCTGTTTTTGTCAATTTAAAAACAACACCAATAGCACACACAAACAAACAAAAAAAAAAAAGGTAGAAATAAAAATATCGCAAAAAAGGAAACAAGAAAACAAAAAAAAAACTGACAGCCATAAATTCTTTTTATGCTTTGCAGTTTTTTTTTTGTATGCTTGCAAAAAACCTTCACAAATAACACTGAATGCCTGTTCATTATCTGAAACCAGTGATACAGAAAGAGACTATATATATATATATATATATATATATATATATATATATAATATATATATATATATATATATATATATATATATATATAAACTATATATATATATATATATATATATATATATATATATATTGACAAGCATAACGTTTAGTCTTTAACTGTACCTATGTGTAGGAAACAACCACCATTTTATAAGCTTTTGACCGCTCACAAACACTGCTGCAAAGGCATACTGACGGACTGATGACTGACTGAGAGACTGAAAGACTGATATGACGATACAGTGTGTGATGTGAGCCAAAAATGTGACAGCCAAAAATGCAAGGCGTAAAGCTAAATGCAACCTGCTTGTGCTTTTTAATTGAAGCTTCTCCAGCAGATAACCAACAACATTTGACCGTTCACATAATGGTTCAGCTGTGTACAGTTTTTTCTTCTTCTTCTTCTTCAGATATAATCCGATAAATTTCTTTTTCATCGTCAGTGCAAAATAACTGAATAACAGGGTGAAGAAAAGTATAGAAGAAATTAGAAAGAAAAAATAGTGAAATTTTATCTTTCAACATTTAATAGCTGTATAATGACTGATTGTAATTTCGGTTGGCTTATTCAAAACGGTATGACAGCAACAATTCCGGCACATAGTTTCCATTTAATTTCACTATAATACTGCATATTTTAGCATCTCTTATCATGCATAAACTACGAAAATATAGTTGATTCATCAAAATCAGATACATTTATCTTTGCATAGTTTTCTTCCCCCTCCACCTTTCCTCCCCCTCGACTTTCTCTCCACGTAACAACAATATGTTAATCATTTAAAAAAGTGTAATAGAAAACATTAAAAATTTAAAAAAATATATGTATTTTTTTTTTTTGCTTACTTTATTCAAAATAGATTCTCTAGTCAATCTTTTTTTTAAAAAAACACGTCTTTTTTTTTGCCAAACACTGTTATGCGATATAATAGACGACATATTACTAAACAATTAACCTCCCATATACAATCAATTATTTAATGTCATAAATGTAGACAGCAATTTATTTTATAAGGTTCAATAGAACTTTATTTATATAAATAGTAAAAAAAATAAAAATAAATAAAATTTATAACTAGATTTATCAAAAAGACAAAAAAAAAAGTTTTATAAAACAAAAAAAAAAAGAGATACGTAGAAAAAACAGTAAAAATTATAGTTCAAATTGTTACAACTCAAATACAGACCATAAAACCTGCTTTCATCAAAAAAGTTTTTTCCCTAAAACATCGGATGATTAAAACCAATCTGAAAAGAATGAAAGAACAAAAACTGTGATCATAGTAATGTTGAAACAAAAAATGGAAAAAAAAAGAACAATACTTGAACCAATGTTCTGAACATTAACTGTAAGCGCTTACTGAAAAATCTGTTTAAAACTATGAAAACACAAAAAACTGTTGACAGTAATGAATGTACCATTACCGTTTTCATCACCAATACCACCGATACTGTTACTAATACCAATACCACCGATACTGTTACTAATACCAATACCAATACGGCAACAGCAAAATTGCAAATAGCTGTAGTAGAAGCAACCGCAACAGTTCAATGATGAAGTGGCTTTTAAATCGAAAAATTGATCTCAAAAGACAAATAGAAAAAAGAGTAGTTGGCACAACGTATATATACATAGAAGACACAGACACACACAGAGACACACACAGAGACACACACACACACCACACACACACACACACACACACACACACACACACACGCCAATATATATATATATATATATATATATATATATATATATACGTATATACGTATACTAGCTTTAAAAATTGGTAATAGAAATGAACTTGAGTAAACATTTTGAAAAAGCTTCAAAATGATT